TGGATAAAATGTGCTGCAGTTCTTGATGGAGGCCAACAGAGAAGGATTGTCATGAAGACGGAGATCTTTACGAAACCAGTGAATACTGGTTGGACCTTGGTTTGGAGCTTTAGAGAGAGAGAGAAAAAAACAATAATAAGTATATGTTGGAAAGATAACCGTTTATGGTAGGTTGAACTGAGTCAGTTTAAATTTCGGTGTTCACCTATTGCTCCTAGCTGTATGCCCAAATCGTAAAGTTTCTCAACGCATATTTGTCTCTGCTCCAAATGGTTGACCATTGGCTTGGGATAATTGACCCCGAKRACACAGTTGGCCGTGCTTTGAATATCCTTTGGTGCYTTCCAAGGCTCAAAAGCATACTCTGTAGGTAGATGGCGTACTTCTGGCACGTAGCGYCTGTTGAGCATAAGGTATTGGTTAGAATAATGCAGCTCATTATATGAAGTTAGGAAACCTTTTASATACTTACTTGATGTAWGARGCAGATGGATCCATCTTCTTGGCCACCTCTACRGGGCAATACCAAGGAACCGATCCYTTGATGTAGGTACTGCACGACAACCACATCCAACAGCTGGCATTCATTCCCCACTCCGAATCCAACTGGAGCTCGTCGAAAGCTTTGTATCCCTCTTCCCAGTTGATCCACAAGCATCCGCGTGTMAGAAAACATCCAACGGCCTCKCGAGCCACGTTGTGAATCCACCCTTCCTGATTGAGCTGTCKCATGATGGCGTCGATCCACGGGAATCCAGTCTTGCCTTCTTTCCACTGTTGTAGTGCAGTTGCATTGTCTTCCCAGGGCAGCTGTAGACTCATTGAATTGTTGACCATCTTRTGRAGGTCAGGGTTTTGACTTGCTGATTGCAAGAAGTATTCACGTCTGAGAAGGTTGCCAAACAACGATAATGGAGGACTGGTATTCTTGGCCTGTAATTAGATTTTATACAATATTATATGTTTACCTTTTGAGTGTATATCAAGAGTATCATATTTGAGATTTAAGTTTAAAGAAAATCAT